GCTCTTCCCGTTTATCTTTTTTTAAAGTAGAAACTTTTTTTGGTATCCAACAGCTTTATCCCAGCCTTGTACTTGCTTGTATTATAACTGTGAATTTTGTAGATGTGTAGGGTATAAGTCACTGTATAATGTGTGTAAATTTGTATTCCTTCATATAAATGTAGTCTCTTTTCTTCCTTGTATAATTGTTACAGCGGGGCGAAACCTTGTTTTAAAAAAGAACTTTTTTGTTAATTTACTAAAGTCATGGATTTGTATAAGCTTCTTGTGATGAGAATTTCACAACTTTTTAACTAAAGTAAATTATTAAACAGAATGGAAGATATGTATTTTCGTAGTACTATACGTTCCACCTAAAGCGTGTCTTTTAGAGAATACACTAGGTCTATATTTTGTTTTTAAATTTTAGATTTCTCTACTCAGAAATGAAATGTAACGTGGAAGTTGAGATGTTGAGTCTTGCTTTACACAGCTCAATGTCAATTTCTTTCTGTTAATTAAAATACTATGCAGTATCTTATTTAGTTGTATTTTTTGTAATCTTAATCGTCAAAGTATTTAGCAAAAAAAAGTGTGTGTTTTAAAAATCCAACTCCTAAAAGCATCCTATAAAACCATTCCCATCCCATGTTACAAATGATGGATTTTTTAGCCAGGCATAAATGTATGCCTTTCAGAGGCACGATTTTTCTGCTATTCTAATAACTGATGGTGCTGCTATATCTTTCAGTCTAACTTCTTAAATTATTTTATGACAGTTTTCATTGAGTATGTGGACCATGTGTATGTTCACCTAAATAAAACAAATGAAAACTTAATGGGGATGCCTTTTTTTTTTTTCTCCCCCTGCCCTGAGTTTAGGTTCTGCTGAGCATGTTCATACCTATTTTTTGTCCTTCGCTGTGGCTGTATGTTTTATAAAACAGGGCATCCAGCCCGGTTTTGTTACAGCGCAGATCTTGGAATTCACATTAAGTGGGTTTGTTAGACAAACTGTAGCAATACGTACCCTACCTTTATTTTGGCTTTTACTTTCTCATTAAAAACAAGTGTTTTTATTGCAAGGCCTAGGGTGGTGTTTTTAGAAACTAACCCTTTACTGTTAGAACAATAAAACATGAGTTGAAATTAGGCCTGCTATCTATATATGTTACCATGGTTACAGAAATCCTAAAGGGAATCACAGGCTTTCTGGAAATGTATAATTCTCTTTCATCCAGTGAACGCAGCGCTATCTTGCAAGATGAAAGCAACGTTCAGTCCAAATTGGATCCTTCAAGAATTTATTTCTGTGTACAGGGGAGGCAAACTATGGTTAATGGCAAAGTTGAAATTAGCATCATGCATGAGGGGGAAAAAAAAAGCACCATATAGATGCTAACAGCTTCTCTACCAACAATCTTTGCAACAAACCCAGACCCTTTTGTCCATTTTTATTCTCAATTTCACACCATGACATCCAGCCTTTTAAAATGACTAGCCACAATAAATGCATGAGCATGAGAAGGTGAATTATTTTCTTTTATTTCTCTTTATAATGTAAACACAGAGTGAAAGGAAAAAGGGTGGTCTGTGGAGGCTGCCAGCTTTTCACTCTTCTTTGGCTCTATACAGAAGGAAAATTGTACTTATTTTTCCCTAAGACTCAGCCGCACTCATCTGCCTGTGCCTCTTTCTCCCAGCCTTTCTCCCCCTGTCTCTAGCTGCCTGAGCGGATGATGTTTCCTCACGTCCCGTGAGCTGGGGAAAAAAATAAAACCCCAGAACTGCTCTCGGGGAAGCTCTTGGGCGGTTTTAAGCACTAACGCTCCGGGCTCTGCTCGGGGCATGCGCTGCGGTACCGGCTACATTCACCTACGCGTCACTTGGCTTCCCTGGAATTAATTAATCAGCGCCAGGGCTGAGGGAGCCGCAGCCGTGG